TCATGAAACTTGACATAAGCATAGAGTTATTGACACAGTTTGAGGTTAAGTGGTCCCACCGACAAGTTATAAATAATCTTTTCTGTAAAATGTTAACGCACTAGACTTGTGCACAACTCCCGTTCACCTGCGCTGAACAAACCAAATGCCTGTAATCACGGGACAAACAAATTGATTAGTTCGCTAAACACTAACAAATTGATTAGTTTGTATAGCTATTAACAGGAATTTGATTATGTTTAGTACAGCTGAATGGGATTTATGCACAAGTCTATTAAAGGATTATTATAGGGTCAGGAACACAAACATGTATTCCTGACCCTATATTGCTAAACCCACCATTTAGGTGGCTTGCCCCCTTATAAAAGTTTAAAACTCCCCTTATTTCCAGAGCAGCACGGGTTGCCGGCGCTGGCTCCGCCCCCTTTGTGACATCATCAAAATTGACGATTTTTTTCCATAAAGCATTGGATTGGCTAAAATCAGCACGGGGGTGGGGGCCAAATTAATTGAACCAATGCATCTCTATGAGGAAAATTCTGCGTCTCCATGCAGATCGTGGGGATACTGAATGGCAGGGCTGCTTACTGTGCAGCCCTGAGCCAGGAAGCCCCTCCAGTGGCCATCTAAGGAGTAGCCACTTGGAGGTGTCCCTAGGGCCAATGTAAACACTGCCCTTTCTCTGAAAAGGCAGTGTTTACATGGAAAAAAAAGCCTGAAGGGAGCTATTAACCCTATTAAGATGTAGTTGTTCTGGTGACTATAGTGTCCCTTTTACCCCTTAAGGTCACATGACGTGTGACATGTCATGATTCCCTTTTATTCCAGAAGTTTGGTCCTTAAGGGGTTAAGCACCAAAAACAATTAGCTTAAGGGACACTCCACTGCCCAAATACAAAATAAAAATCACTGTTTAGTAGATATATCCTAAATGAAAGCTTGCATGCATTTAATTATGCATTTTCTCATCAAATCAGCTTGCAAAACCTGCAGTTCTTTCGTCTGCTGCCTTTTCAAGCTCTCTGATTCAAACCCCGCCCAGACATTCTGAGGCTCTCCAATCACATACTTTCCAATGCAGCTCAATGAGAAGTCTTTGTACGTCAGGTGCTCTGGGCAATTGCTGCCTCTTCAGGTCAGCTCCATTAAGCTAATAAAACCAGGAAGTAACAGGACCCTTTGTCTGCTTTAAAGCCAAGGGTGTGTCACCAGGTTAATTTACAAAACTGAAAGTTTCTACAGAAATTTGCACTTTTTGCAAAATGAAAAAAGAGGACACTCTTTACAAACATAAAGCTTTTCAGCAAGCAAAAGTTATTTAGGGGTCTGGAGTGACCCTCTAATAAGCAATTTCGTTGTTCATATCATGCCTGTGCAATTTTACTGTGTATATGCAGCCAGGGGCGTTTTAGCCGCGAGGCAAACAAGGCATTTGCCTTGGGCGGCATTTTCCAGGGGGCGGCAAAAAAAGCCGCCCCCCAGATGCCCAGGGCAAAAGCCTTGTTAGCCTTGCGGCTAACTAACATGCTGTGCGGGCGGGCGGGCCGTTGCGAGGGAGCACTTCCCTTGAGCAGTCTGCTCAGCTCCCTCGCGCGCCGCAGAGTGAGGCTGGGAGCCGGAAGATGACGTCATATTCCGGCTCCCAGTCTCACTCTGAGGCGCGCAAGCGAGCTGAGCAGACTGTTCAGGGGAAGTGCTCGCTCGCCAGCCGCCTGCCCGCCCGCCCGCCCAGCAGCCACTGGACCCCCAGGGAGATAGAGAACCCCTTACCCCCCCCCCCAGCACTCCCAAAGGTAAGGGGGGGGGGTTTAAAAAAAAGTGTTAATGTGAGTGAGTGAGTGTGTGTGTCTGTTAGTGTGTGTGAGTGTGTCTGTTAGTGTGTGTGTCTGTTAGTGTGTGTGTCTGTTAGTGTGTGTGTCTGTTTGTGTGTGTGTCTGTTAGTGTGTGTGAGTGTGTCTGTTAGTGTGTGTGTCTGTTAGTGTGTGTGTATGTATGTTAGTGTGTGTGTATGTATGTTAGTATGTATGTATGTATGTTAGTGTGTGTGAGTGTCTGTTAGTGTGTGTGTGTCTGTTAGTGTGTGTGTCTGTTAGTGTGTGTGTGTGTGTCTGTTAGTGAGTGTCTGTTAGTGAGTGTGTGCTTGCCAGTGAGTGTGTGTGTCTGTGAGTGAGTAAGTGTGTCTGACTGTGTGTGTGTGTCTGCTAGTGTGTGTCTGCTAGTGTGTGTCTGCTAGTGAGTGAGTGTGTGTCAGTGAGTGTGTGTTTCTGTTAGCTAGTGTATGCGTATCTGTCAGTGAATGTGTGTGTGTGTATTTAGAAGGCAAGGCGGGGCAGGGGGAAGGGATGGGTGGCGGTCACGCACGGGGGATTGGGGGGTGCCTGAGTTTTGTCCTGCCTAGGGCAGCACAAAACCAGGATACACCACTGTATGCAGCCCTAGCCACACCTCCCTTGACTCTGACTCATGCAGCCTCCATGAAATTTACTTTTACAGCTCCCTGTGTTTACTTGTTTTTATCTCTTGCTCCAGTTAACCCCTTAAGACTGGAGGGCGTACTATTACGCCCTATTTTAGGCGGCTCTAAGCGCCGCCAGGCGTAATAGTACGCCCTGCGGTCTTTTCTTACTTACCCGGTCGCCGGCGGTCCCACGCCGGCAATCGCGGTTGCGGGGACTCCCAGGGAGCCCCCTGCGGCAGATCTTCCTCCTGAAGCCCCCCCGGCCATGTGAGAGTGAGGTCCTTGCGAGGACCTCACAATCACATGGCCGGGATAGCTGGCTGCAGCATTGCCAGCAGGGGGGCTGCCTGTAATGACAGGTGGTCCCCCTGCTGGCTGGAAATAAAATAAAAAAAAGTTAATCAGTGTAAAAAAATAATAATATATACTTAGATCATAAAAATATATATATATATATAAATATATATATATATACTATATATATATGATCTAAGTATATATATATATACACATATACATACAAACACATACACTGTCTAGGTGTATTTTACTATAAATTTATATATAATTATATATATACATATATTTATATATAATATAAAAAATAAATATGTAAATACGTTAAAAAATAAAATAAAAAAAATAATTAAAAAATAATTAAAAAATATGTAGATGTGTGTTATTTCGTTCTAACTGTATTGTGATATTAATATATATATTTATATCAAAATACACGTAGAACAAAATAATATATATATCTATATACATAAATATATACGTATATATCACTATATATATATATACCTATATATAAATAAAAATATTTAAAAAAATTATATATATATATATATTCACATACATATATATATATATCTATATACATATATTAATTCTACATATATATTTCTCTAATATTTTTACATAATTGGGTATGTTAATTAATTACAATTAGCGGGACCTGCCTGACAACCCATGCCGAAAGTAAAGGGAATTTAATTTGCTAGCACTATATTTAACCCTATAACTTTCCAAGACACCATAAAACCTGTACATGGGTGGTGTTCTACTCGGGGGACTTCGCTGAACACAAATATTAGTGTTTCAAAACAGTAAAATGTATTACAATGATGATATCGCCAGTAAAAGTGAAGTTTTTTGCATTTTTCACGCACAAACAGCACTTACACGGATGATATTATTGCTGCGATACTTTTTACTGTTTTGAAACACAAATATTTGTGTTCAACAAAGTCTCCTGAGTACAACAGTACCCCTCATGTACAGGTTTTATGGTGTTTTCAAAAGTTACAGCGTCAAATATAAGGCTTGTGTTTCATTTTTTTCACATTAAAATTCGCCAGATTGGGTACGTTGACTTTGAGAACCTATGGTTGCTACTAAAAACTTGCAGAATAATTGTAATTGGTTAACTCAAGACAAGGTGCTGCAGCAACTAAAGAAAGTTAATATAAACAAAGCTCCAGGGCCTGACGGTATCCATCCACGTGTACTTAAGGAACTAAGTGCAGAAATAAGTGAACCTCTGTTTTTAATCTTTCAAGATTCTTTTCTTTCAGGAAGTGTTCCGGAGGATTGGAGGAAGGCAGATGTGGTTCCTATATTCAAAAAGGGTTCAAAATCCTTGCCTGGAAATTATAGACCTGTGAGCTTAACTTCTGTGGCTGGTAAAATATTTGAAAGGTTATTAAGGGATAATATTCAAGAATTCCTTGAGAAGAACATGGTTATCAGCAAAAATCAGCATGGTTTTATGAAGCACAGGTCATGTCAAACTAACTTGATTGCGTTCTACGAAGAAGTAAGTAGAAGTATAGATCAGGGTGTTGCCGTGGATGTGATCTTTTTGGATTTTGCCAAGGCATTTGATACAGTTCCACACAATAGATTAGTGTTCAAACTCAAGGAAATCGGTCTAGATGAAAATGTTTGTTCTTGGGTAGAACATTGGCTTAAAAACAGAGTACAAAGAGTTGTCATTAATGGTAAATTTTCAAGCTGGACAGAGGTGGCAAGTGGTGTCCCTCAGGGGTCTGTTCTGGGACCCCTTCTATTTAACATGTTTATAAATGATCTTGAAGATCGCATTGAAAGTCATGTTTCAGTGTTTGCAGATGACACAAAACTTTGTAAAACAATACAATGTGAGCAAGATATTACTTTGCTGCAGAGGGATTTAGATAGACTGGGAGACTGGGCCCTCAAATGGCAGATGAAATTTAATGTTGAAAAATGCAAAGTTATGCACTTCGGCGTAAAGAATACACAAGCAACATATACCCTTAATGGAAGCGAATTAGGGATAACAACACATGAAAAGGACTTGGGAATTGTTATAGACAACAAACTATGCAACAATGTGCAATGTCAATCAGCAGTGGCCAAGGCCAGTAAGGTATTGTCATGCATGAAAAAGGGCATTCATTCTCGGGACAAGAATATAATTTTGCCTCTTTATAAATCACTGGTAAGACCCCATATTGAATATGCAATTTTGGGCACCTGTTCTAAAGAAGGATATTATGGCACTAGAAAAAGTGCAGAGGCGGGCTACAAAATTAATAAAAGGAATGGAACATATCGGCTATGAAGAAAGGTTAACAAATTTAAACCTATTTAGTTTAGAAAAACGTCGCCTGAGAGGGGATATGATAACATTATACAAATATATTCGGGGCCAATACAAACCATTGTGTGGAAATCTATTCACAAACCGGACTTTACATAGGACACGAGGCCATGCGTTTAGACTGGAAGAAAGAAGATTTCGTCTAAGGCAAAGGAAAGGTTTTTTTACTGTAAGAACAATCAGGATGTGGAATTCTCTGCCTGAAGAAGTGGTTTTATCAGAGTCCATACAGATGTTCAAACGGCTACTAGATGCATACTTGCAAGAACAGAATATTCAAGGATATAATCTTTCAATGTAGGGTAATAACTGCTTGATCCAAGGATAAATCTGACTGCCATTCTGGGGTCAAGAAGGAATTTTTTTCCTAGCTTGTTGCAAAATTGTGCTTCAAACTGGGTTTTTTTGCCTTCTTTTGGATCAACAGCAAAAAACAAATGTGAGGAAGGCTGAACTTGATGGACGCAAGTCTCTTTTCAGCTATGTATGTAACTATGTAACTATGTAACTATGGTAGCCCAAGAATGAAAATTACCCCTATGATGGCATACCATTTGCAATAGTAGACAACCCAAGGTATTGCAAATGGGGTATGTCCAGTCTTTTTTAGTAGCCACTTAGTCACAAACACTGGCCAAAATTGGCGTTTTTTGCATTTTTCACACACAAACAAATACTAACGCTAACTTTGGCCAGTGTTTGTGACCAAATGGCTACTAAAAAAGACTGGACATACCCCATTTGCAATACCTTGGGTTGTCTACTATTGCAAATGATATGCCATTATGGGTGTAAATTTCTTTCCTGGGCTACTATAAAGTCCCAAAGGCAACGTAACCAATCTGGCAAATTTCAATTTCAAATGTAACGTGCTATATTTGACCCTGTAACTTCCCAAAACGCCATAAAACATGTACATAGGGGGTAATGTTTTACACGTGAGACACCACTGAATACAAATATGTGTATTTTATTGCAGTAAAAGCAAACAGTATTATGACATTGACAGTTAAAATGTCATGTAGAACTAAAAAAATAAAAATAAATCTTATTTTCTCCCATTTTTTTCATATGAAATTATGTTTCATAGCTAAATATTTGATATTGAATGAAAGCCCTGTTTCTCCTAAATAAAATGATATATAAGGGTAGGTGCATTTAATATGAAAGAGGTGAATTACGGTTGGACAGACATGTAGCGCAAATGCCAGGTTTTGTTTACATTTTTTTTCGTTCACAACGTGTACATTTGGCTCCGTCCTTAAGGGGTTAATTGAACTTTGATCATTCACAGTTGTCTGCTGCAGGCACTAGCAGTCAATTAACAGAGCAAGTGATATGAAATGCTAATTAAAGCACACTGTTAAATAAGAGGTTTTTATTTATTTATTTGTAATTTATTTTTGCAAGTATGTAAGAATGCTGTGTTAGTCAAAGCCAGCCAAGTGTGCCTAGGGCTGCATAAGACAACCAAAACGTTGCGGTGTCTCTTGTGCAGAGAGAACTTATAGGTGGAATCAGTTTGATTCACTCTGTAGTGGCACAAGTGAGCAAAAATTATTTTGGGGTTTTACTGAAGGGCAATGTTATGGATGTTATGTTTGGTTTACATGCAACTAACTCTATGGTTTATTCTCTATTGCACATGTTTCCTGTTGGGGTGTGTACTTCCTTCATGTAGCTCCTGAAACATGGCTGCTATACACTAATACGTGGCAGTGTCTTTATTTAGATCTCCTGAAACAGGCAAGCCATAGCTTTCTCTTAGTTTTATGCAGTGCTTAAAGTGAGCACTGCTTACAGCCTTTTAAATCTGCATTGAATGCCTAATGCTAGGCATGTGCATGGGGAAAATTCCGGATTTTCGCACTTCGGAATTTCGGTATTTCGGGACTTCTATTGCAGCCGCTTAGTAGATAACTCCCTAATTCACACGGTATTAGGGAGTTATCTACCAAAAGGCTGAAAGACCTAAATTGGTCTTTCAGCCAAATTTACTAATACTAAGTAAAAATTACTTAATATTAGTACATTTTGCCCCTACTCGCTATACTGCGAGTAGGGGCATGTCTAGTAAACAAAAATAATGAGGGGGGGACCTTTAAGTACCTGTGGTAAAAAAAAAACTTACCATTCAATGTTTTCTTTCTTCTAAAATCTTTTTTTTCAGCCCCAAAAAAGGCCAAATAAAAAACCATAACCGACGCAATAAAAAAACCACAAAAAAAAACAAGCGCAAAAAATAATAATCCCATCTTCACCCGGTGAGGGCTCTGCGCAGACTGAGCTCTGCAGGGCGGGGCAAGGCTTATAAAGCCTTGCCTCGCCCTGCAATTAGGCTCAAAGCACTCTGGTTGGTTTGAAATCCACCAATCAGAGTGCTCTGTCATTTTACACAGCGTGGGAAAGTTCTTTGCAATTTTCCCACGCTGTGTAATTTGACTCATAACACTCTGACTGGTGGATTTCAAACTAACCAATCAGAGTGCTGTGACAGGTAAATGTAGAGACTTACCTGTCAGTCCCTTCATTTACCTGTCAGAGCACTCTGATTGGATGGCTCAAACCCACCAATCAGAGTGCTCTGAGCCTAATTGCAGGGCTGGGCAAGGCTTTATAAGCCTTCCCCCACCTTGCAGAGCTCAGTCTGCGTTGAGCCCTCGGCGGGTGAAGATGGATTATTATTTTTTGCACGTGTGTTATTTTTTATTTTTTTTGCGTCGGTTATTATGGTTTTTTTATATGGCCTTTTTTGGGGCTGTAAAAAGATTTTAGAAAGAAAACATCGTATGGTAAGAGTTTTTACAGGTACTTAGTTAAAGGTTCCCCCCCCTCATTATTTTTAGGGTGAGGGGGGTAAATAGGGGGTTAATTATTTTTTTTTTGGGGGGGTGACTAGGGGTTTGGGGACCCCTAGTCACCTGGGAGGGGGGTTAACATTTTTTTTTTAGGGCCCCCACCTGCTGCTCCGGGGTGGGGGCTGGGTGGGACAATAGGTCCCCCCCCTCTATAGGTATTTACGGCCCCCACCCGCCGCTCAGGGGTGGGGGCCGGGGGGGAAGACATTAGGTCCCCCTATTGGTATTTAGGGCCCCCACCCGCCGCTCAGGGGTGGGTGCCGGGGGGGGTGCACTTAACCTGCCTACATATCCCAGGTGGGGATTGTATCACCCTTGCTGTTTCCCATGAGCATGTGTATGCTCCTTTAAATGTAAGTACATTTTATCTATATCTACAAATCTAAATTTATATTAAAAACAGAGAGCACTATTCTCCTTATTTTTATTCCTTACTTTATGTCTATCTGAAAATACAGAGTGCATCCATCTCAAGGCATATCCGTGAGCGGGGATTATACTGCTTTATGATTACACTAAGAGCTCTATTGGAAGCTCTTTGTTTGTGAGTGTATTTTATCCTCTTTTTACTATTCACATTGGGATTGCTTTATTGGACTCCTCCTTTTATGTATTTCATATGAGATATACATGTCCTGAGAACATTTTATGACATCCCTATATTTCTATAAAGATCCTGTTTGATTCTCAAACTCATATCCTGTGACAATGATTATATTGTCAGAAGCGAATACAACAGAGCCAATAGTTGACTCCTTGTTTGTGTGTATTTTTATCAAATTATTGCTGTTGCTTTTGTTACATACAATATCACACTATTGTCATTCTTTGTCATTTATTATTCAACAAGGACTACTTTTTGTAGCTATCTAGCTATGTTACCATCACTTTTTGAGACGTTAATATTCAAGTGCCCTTATTATATTTCATTCTTTGTTATTTCTGGGAAGGGGGGGAGGGAGCCTCTTTATGATGTGCCCTTGAAGGCACAGCAGTAGAGCACAGTGAATTTGGTGTTTCTAGTATTCATATCCCTAGCTGCCTCTACTATTTAGCAGTTTAGCTAACATTCGCTTCTTTACTTTTAGACACATGTTCATGTCATATGATATTTTATCACTTAGGTGGATACTATCTCTGTTTGTATATATAGCTTCTCTTTTCAGCACTTTTGATCCATATTAGCCATAATGATATACTAGGCAGCTTTATGTGTATGAGTATTCCTTTTTTTATTTTTTATTTATTTATTTATTTTATTACCAACTCTATAAAAGAACATTATTTCTAATCAGGGATCTTTACTAGATTTAGTCCCAAATATAGGGGTGTTTTTTATTATGGATGTGCATGGGCATAAAATTCGGTTTGGTATTTCAGAAATTCTGGACTTTGGCGATTTGGCACTTCGGTTCGGTTCAGCACTTCCAAAATTCACGACTTCGGCAATTCGGCACTTCGGTTCGTTTCGGCACTTCTGAAATTCACAACTTTGGCAATTCTGCAACTAGGGACTTCTTCAAATCCCTAATCCTAACCACCACAACCACTTACACATCTAGGGTTAGGGGTAGGGTTAAGGTTAGGGTTAGAGTCCTGTCATCCCTCCCACTCTTGTTTTGCCACTTTTCAGAAATCCAAAGCACTTTGGCACTTCCGAAATTCAGCACTTCGGGTCGGTTTGGCACTTCTGAAATTTGGCAATTCGGACTAGTCAGCAGCAGACCCTCCCTCCCAGATCCTCCCACCTCCTGGACAGCTCACTAAGAATACAGCTTCAAAATGGATGCTCTCCAGGAGGTGGGAGGGTCTGGGAGGGAGGGTCTGCTGCTGATTGGCTGGAATGTGTCTGCTGACTGTGAGGTACAGGGTCACAGTTTACTCAATGATGAGTCCGTGGCGAACCGTTCACGAACCGTTCGGGACATCACTACTCCAGACCTTTTACCTTCTTAATTGATAAAGAAATAATGATGGAATAGCTCATACTTTTAAGCTGTAATGTGAATACCTTCGAATTAAAGTTGAGAGACTGCACAGGAGCCCATATTATTTAGCTGTAACCTGATTTTATTTTGGTAAACAGCCAAAATAACAAAACCTGTGTCAGTGTCCCAATATTTCTAGACCTAACCGTAAGCATAATTTGCAGACTTTCTTGTTAAATTTATTAGTGGGTAATTCTAAGCAAAGT